AAGACCCTCTACCACCCCCTTGGGACGCCTCCCACCACTCTGCAGCACCTCCCCCAACCCGCCCGCCCAGTAGGAATTTCTGCCGTGTTCCGGGAACCCCAGACCGAGTCCTAGCACAGGTCCAGTGAGTGTGTGGGAGAGCTTCCTGCTACCCTGCGCCAGTGGGACGTACTACTGGTTCCAGCCCAGGCGCAGTGTGGGTGAGACCCTCTTCCACACACTTGGAACACCCCCCACCACTCCGCATCACCTCCCCCACACCGCCCGCCAAGTAGGAATTTTTGCCGCGTTCCAGGAACCCCCAGACCCAGTCCTAGCCCAGACCCAGTGAGTGAGTGGGACAGCTTCCTCTCCCCCCTACTCCACCTTGCTCCCTCCAGGCACAGCTCAGGCATGGCATAGATGCCTGGGGTGTAACCCTGCAACTTCAATGACTGCAAAGAGTGTACAGTACAGAACCACCCAGCTAGTCCAGGAGCAGAACATGTTGCCACAGGGGCACAACAGGTTCACCCTCAAGGGCAGCAGCAGGAAGGAGCTGAGAACAGCAGCCAGACCCAAGCCAGACACAGCTGGATAAATCCAAACTTTGTAGAGCTGCACCTGAACTTCAGTAGGTGTGAAGGTTATAACTACAACAAAGGTCAGAAGACAGTGCTACACAAAATGACGAGAAAGAACAAAATGCAAACTCAGAACCCAAGCCCACCCATAACAAGTACAGAGGACACTAACACAGAACAAAATGGGAATAACACAGCTGAAAGCAATGCATCAACGGCTTCTGAAATAAAGAAACAGCTGCAGAAAGGTATAGAGGAACTCAGATTGGAAATAAAAAAGAAATCCCTGAATTAATAACATCTGAAGTAAAGAATCAAATGCAGAAACATAAGGAGGAAACCCAGTGCCCACCCAGAACAAGTGCGGAGGACACTAGCTCAGCTCAAATGCATGAATTAATAGCATTGATAGTAAATAAGCAACAGCAGAAAGATATAGAGGAAATCAGAACGCAATT